ATCTAAGTACTGTTGATGTTGCGTGCTACTATCTCATTTTACAGCTTTAAGACACAATGCATCCTACACAGACTGAAAATTTAAGCCAATTTACACAGTAGTCCTTAACAAAACGAGCATTAAGTATGTAACAGTACTACCCGTGGCCACAGTAGCCATTTCACTTCAAAAATTTTTCACTGTTGGAAAATTTAAGACATGGTCAGGAGTGTTAGTATTTATTTCACTATATGAACGATATTTAAGTGCTGATAATGCAACATGTTATTCATCGCCATATCTTTGAAAGGCTTACTCGGCATATAAATTCTGTTTTGGATCGAATTAGATCAATCTTCAAGGGACATTATGGACATTATGTAGCAACAAGTGCAAACGACATGATGCATGTTATAAAATTACTTCAAAGTAACATGGTTTATGCACTGGTTTACTACTAGAAAAACCTCTAACTGATTCAGATTATACATGGTATAACTTCAATTTTGCAATTTAACATAATTTCTCCGAGGCTGCAGAACTTAAAGTATCGTTTACACACCAGTAATACTATTTCGCTCGCTTTTTCAACAACCACATTTATTGCATTTTCCTGCCAACAAGACATGCATCGATTTCTAAAAAGAATTTCAGTAAATTTATGATAGCAAATGCGCATAAGCCTACACATTGATTCCAGGCTAATACGCTTTTTAACGAAAAATGCCTTTCGATATGAAAAATATGCTAATTTCTGGTAATGTGATTACCAATTAAAACTATACATCAACCTTCATAGAAGAACGGATCTTTAGAAATTTCTTTGATGTTAAACATTGATTTTGAAGACCAATACTATTTTTGTAGTTAGTTTAGAATATGGAGCAACTAAAATGGTTAAAGAATTTAGAAACAGCACAGATATGTTAATTAGTCAAATTGATTTGAAGACACAGAGACAAAGTGCAATGCAATACGCCAGCCTCTGAACAAACGACAGACGACATGATGCACAAATTTACTTCATTTGCGGCAGATCAAAGATATGTAAATGACGCAACTTTATGTGCAAACCTACGAGCGAAACTTAAAATACGTCTATTTTAGATATGCTTAATGCTGAAAATATGATTGGCTCCGTGATTCATTCAAAAATTCGAAAATGATTCGTTGAATGACTATGGATATGTCCTTGCTCCATAAACGCTATGAATAAGAATTAAGTACAAATAAATTACGAAGTACCAGCTAAGCGTTTGCAAGTACTCGGAAATCAAAAATTATCCCGCTCAACCATCATCAATGAAAAACATGACGAGAAACAAAAAAACACTTGTACAATCAGAAATCATACCATCGAAATCCCTACAACGCGGCGGTTTTCGTCGCTTTTTATCCTTTTCGACGAGTTTGACTTCAGTCACAAGTGACAACTCGGGTTCCGCCTGTTTCAGAGTACCTTCAACTGCAATAACTTCTATAAATTAAAAAGCTGCGTGAGAAACAAAATAAAATGACATCTGACTGCGACCTTTGCCGATAGGCCGTCGCTGTTCACGGGTGCTGCAGACCACAGTTGTTACTGGGGAGCCCCGACCGTGCTGACGAATGTCTCTGTTTTCTTTGTCACGCTCCCTATCGCGGCCTACAACCACAACTGCAACTTTAGCCGCTGCCGGACAAATGGCAGCAATGTAATTCTGGCGCTTCTGGTGATCTTGACTCCTGTTTCTGGTGGGGCTGCTGCTCGGCATGCGGTCACCTTTCGTGGACTGCTGTAACATCGCTTCCTTGCTGTGCGACCGTTTGCGGCTAAAAGCGAAAACAATTCGAGAAAACAATTCGTGCACCTTGAAGAACTAAACTTACCGCCCAAAACCACCGTTTCTCAGACCGCGTTCATCGGAACTGGACGCACGGCCGCCTCCGCTGCTTTTGCCAGGCACCTGGTCATGCTCTACCGGTAATTCGGGACCCTCAACGACACCGCTCTGCTCCATATAAGATTTATCTTGAATGACAGCAAACAGCTTTTCGACAAACGCTTTAGTTTCTATCAAACAAACAGTTCAGAGTTAAACTACTGCCATCAGTTATAT